AGTACAGACTGTACATTGCAGTATGCTACATTACCGACACATGAAATCTAGTACTTACACTGCCTGTTGGTTTTTAAAAAGGTATGTGAAAGAGCATGCAGTAGGCTCCTTACTGCAGTGACACTATATACTGCCTGCTGATTGTTTTTTAACAGGTATGTCAAGTGTAGTATACAGTGATGTATACCGCCTACTGATCTTTTTAAACATAATATGTGAAGGCAATGTACTTTCTTCTACACTGGAAGCTCCTGTCGTCAAGTCAAATTCCTTGTGTGTGTAAACATACTTGGTAATAAAGCTCTTCCGATTCTGAAATAGTATGTTGTAGGTAACAATAAATGTTCTGAAATGCAGTATGCTGATTTATTATACTGCATCCTGTGTATGCATAAACTGAATACTGTGTTTTTTTTAGAGAGAGCTTTTCTTTTAAGGTGATGAGACGAGTAGGCCAAGTATGGTAACCCATACTCAGAATTTGTTCTTTGCATTTAACCCATCCAAGTCTACACATACAGCAACATTTGGGTTACAAGTCCGATGCTAACCATTAGGCCACTACTCTGCCATGCAAAGGCAAAAGACCGTAACTTCGATTTTTGTCGAAAATGAGTTATTGATATTTTTGGGACATTCAAGACATCCTTTATCATGTGCATAAATATCTTCTTCTAAAGAGTCAATTTCGTTGTTTTTCCGAGAAAATAATGGGTCGTCTCAACCGTAACTTCGAAAAGCCTCGGAGAAACCAAGGCAGAACACCGTATAGCACCAGTTACGGCTCTTTCACTTTGTTTGGAACGCTCAAATTGAGTTACGGCGTTCTGCCTTTGTTTAGCCATGCGTCAAAATGAAGTTACGGTGCCGGCTTGGAGTTATACGGTGTTCTGCCTTTTTTTTTTACTGTTTATTAAAGTCTGCCGCGTTTTAATTACTGTGTAGACAAACGAATTAGATAGATTGCGATCTACCAAACAGCTCCATATAACAAAGCACTGTAAAGACTAGATACCTTGGCAGCAATACGTAATCGTGAATAACCTTTAAAGATTTTTTTTTCTTTTTGTAATACAGATTATTCACCAGGCTGTCACTTAGTTGGACGCGTGTGGACTCGAATGCCGTAGCTAGCATGATCAGTCATAAAATCATTAGCCTACTAACAGTTCGCAATTAAATCCATATCTTACCTTTTCTTGTAACCTGATCAAATCAATCCATGGCGATGAACGTCATCGGAGATGTTTAATCCACAAGCATTCTGAGCATTATTCCTGCTTGCTGGCGTTCACATCAATCCACAAGTCGTTCTTTTAGTTTAGGCTATTTAATATAAAAGTCAATATAAAAGCAATTATGCTATGTCTAACATTCTTTTACATTAATGAGCATAGCAAATAAATTGGTATCCACGATATCCACCTACATGTCTACATTTTAGTCTGCTTGTTACAGTCAAAAAAGGAAAATTTAATACAGTCACATTACTATATGCAATAGCCTATATGAGATAACCCATGATCACTAGATTTTATACAGGTTTTACTATAACGATTTTGTAAATGGAGATCAGCAACCAAATATTGATAATGTGGAAGTTACTGCCTTTTGCCTTGGTGTGACTTCTCACGTTTTGCAGACAATGCAAAGGCAGAGTACATTAACTTCAAAAACCACTCTAAAAAACGCTGGGTTGTTTTTTCAACCCAAATGCTGGGTTGAGACCGCTGGGTAAGGACGTTGGGTTGTTTTAACCTAATTTTGGGTTGAAAATCGGTCTTGATCTATAACCCAGCGGCGCTGGGTTGGGAACGCGGACGTGAAAGAGAGCACGCACGTCATGTTAACATCGGACGTATCTCGACGACACCAGTGTGAGAAGCCGCCATTTTCTCAGCGTCTTCAGATGGAAGCGAGTGAAAGACGGTTTATGGTAAGTAAAGATTAAAAATGTAAAGTCATCATTCATTGTTTGAGTCCGGTAGAATCTTTCATTTCAGATTTCATGGAAGGCGGAAATAGTCTGAAAAGAGCTTATATTGAAAAATACG